AGTCTATTCAACAACAAACATTACAAACTACTTTACGTGCTGCCGAATCTAGAAAAACAGTTATTGAAGATTTAGTTGAAGCTTTCCTTGGTGCTGATATACCACTTCAAAAAATTGACAAACTGCTTTCTTTTTTTAAAAAAATTTAAAGGAAGGAGGTGTAATTCCAAAAGCACCTACCTTATGACAAATTTATCTTCCTTCAATTTTTGAAAAACACATTACTTCATTAAACTCTTATTTGATTCAAAACCTATATCATTATGAATAAAAGTCTAGATAGTTGTGCACACCAGTGTTATCAATACTATTTTTGTTTATCAATAATACAACAATAGGCCAAACTTTATTTTATATTTTAACAAATTACAATATTCCATTTAACAAACCCATCTTATTTCTTTCTGACTCTGCGGCTTATATGAAAAAGTGTTATCGGGATGTTCTAAAGTCAGTAATGCCTCAATTTATACATGCACCATGTTGTGCATATATTTTAATCTTAATTGAATGCGTAGTACATAATATTATAAAGGATATAAATACTAAAAAGGGATTTGATAAAGAAATAGAAATAATAAAAACTAAAGATACTTTAGCAAAAATATTAGGCATATAAAAAATAGTTTTAAATTATTATTTACATTTTATAATATTTTACTATACTAAATAATAGAAACTATTAAAGTGTCTGAAGCATCTTTTAATTCACAAATCTCAAGAACTAATAAATATATTACTAAAAAAATAGAATATATGTATTACTAATACAATACATAAAAATATAACTTTTAATTATTATGCATATTTTAATATATTATATCTGATCTTAATTTTTAATTGGCCAAATCATACATGTGAACAAACAATACATACATAATTTATAATAAAATAGATAAGTCTTATGCTTATATTTCAAACAATTATAATATTAGAGTAATAATAAATATTTATTAATTCTATGCTCAAGCTGTATTTCTTATTTAAATAAAGGTAAAATTTAGTTAAAGGTAAAAAAAAATAATATTAGAATCAAAGTATACAAATTATCAATTATAAAATTATAATTGATTATCTAATATTCTTTTTGATATTTATAGTTTGCAATTTTTTATTGACTATTATCTTTAGATAAGCATTAAAATTTGCACAAAAATATAAAAAAAAGGAGAGATAAGTAGAGTTCCAAAAATAACTTGCATAAACTCGCATATTTGACTTGCATTATTGTGCATAATTGTAAATTTTAGTTACACATAATAAATAAGTACTTTAAATTAAAGATATATAGGATAATTTTGACTCAAAACTCAACTTGACTCGACTCATTAGGAATACTAGAGATAAGTATATTTTTAAAAAAGTATGAAATCTTTTACAAAAATATTTTTTAAAAGGTAATTTTAATAAAAAAAATATATATTACAGAAAGTATGCTTAATCAACTAAAGCAAAATGTGAAAAATAATATAATTGAAGAAGAAGAAGTACTAAAATTAGAAATTATATGAAATTAAAATTTTATTATATAATTTAATACTATTAAGAGATAATAATAGTTATTTAAATATTTAAATGTAAATAAAAGTTAATTTTTCAAATTTTGTAATAAATTATTTTGAATAGGAATATAATGTAAATTTTTGATATTTTTAGATATTTGAAATTTAACTAGTTATAAGTTAATATTATACTTATTCATTTTAAAAGTTATTAAAAAATAATTAGAATAATTAATTAATATTAAAATATAATAGCAGTTTTCCTATTTTATTATCAATGATTATTTACTGATAATTTGTAATTTTTTCCATAAAAGGCTATTTTTAATAAATAAATAATTTAGAAATTAAAATTAAACATTATGATTTTATATAATAGTATGGGTATTTTTATTTATTAGATAATAAATTATTAATAAAATGTTAATATTACAAAAAATTTGTTAATAAAAATAAATAAAAATTCAATTTAAATAGTTTAAAAAGTAATTTAAATATTAGATTGGTAATTTTAAAGTTATAAATATGTTAAATTTTTCAAAAATACAAATATAATAATTAATTTGTGATTGTTAATTAGAGATTTTTTTATTTTGTATATAATTAAAGGTATTTTTAATATTAATATTTTTATGATAAAATAAAAGAAAAGTTAAAATAAAGGTATGTATAATTATATTATTTTTATTTTTATTTAATCCTTAAGAATACTTAAATATTTTGAAGGTTATTATCAATAGAACTTAATTTTAGAGATAGAATTTACGCTATATATTGAACTTTATTTATTTATATTTCTTCAAATAAGTTAAAGATTTTTTCTCGCTTAATATCTGAAAGTTTTTGAATATAAAATCATAAACCTGACTTTTTGCTTTTTTTCACTAACTTTATCATTGGCTATGATATTTTTAACCATAATCAAAAATACTTTAGCATAAAAATATCAGCTTAATATCTCTTCTTGATTAGCTTTCATTATAAGATCTTCTATATCACAGGCTCTTTAATATAAGTAAATAATTTTCTTACCTAAGGTAAACGAAATTTTAGTCATATAATTTTCCTTATCTCTAATTATAGCAAATATAAAAAATCTTTTTTTCATTACTTTACTCATAAAATGATGCTCTAATTCTCATATACTTTTTCCATTACAACTACATTTAATCAAAATCTAATTACATTATTTCTTTTATCTATAAAAACCTGTTAAAATTTATGGTTTAAATTTGTTTTTTAGATAAACTAATATAATTTTAGATTAGTATTATGTAGATTTATATATATTCTATAAATACATACTCTCTTTAAATGCATCTTTATATTTCTTAAGGGAATATATTTATAGAAAGTTGACTGTATATTCCTTATTATTCTTTTCAAATTAAAACTTTCTTTTCCAATTAACTATAATAGGCAAAAAAGTAGTTGCTTTCAAAAATTAATTAAATGAACTTTGTATAAGATTATTATAAACAATGAGTAAATAGATATATCCTCTTTTTCTCTTTTTAAATTAGAACTTTCTTTTCTGATTAATTACAATAGACGGAAAATAATTGCTTAATATTTTTTAATAGATATGCAATAGATAGTAATGAATGATATAATTGGTTATTAGGTTTATTATATAATAAATAAATAATTATGCATGTAATCTGAGCTCTGAACTTAATAATTTTCTAATTTACTTAGATTATATATCTTATTATAAACTTATTTAAAGTTATATAATATCCTTTTTATATAAATTTAATATATAACAATTATTTTAAGATTAATTAATTAAATTTAAACCTAATATATTATATTATTAAAAATTTATTAATTAAAAATTGAAATAATTAAGTTATATATAATATTATATATTATTAACTAATAATTAAAAGAAAATTTTATTGAATAATTTTTTTATCAATTTTCTTATAATAAATATTAATAAATAAAAGACTTTTAATTATTATAATTTTAAAATATAAAAGAAATAAAGAATATTGTTTTAAAAATGAATAATTTAAGTAATAATAATAATTTTGAAAATAAAATAAAATAATAAAAAAATTTTAATTTAAAAATTAAATATTCAAAGTTATTTTTTTTTAAACAATAATATTAATAGTTAAGAATTCTCAAAAAAAAGTTTAAATTAATTTGTAATAACATCCTTTTGATAATAATAAATAAATCAAAATGATAAAATTCTGTATTGAAACTATTAAACTCAAAAAATATTTTAAATTTATGAATAAGAATTAAGGTAATTATAATAATTATTAAAAAAAATTATATTAATTGATCATAGATGGTATTTTAAAATTGTTATTAGATATAATTATATTAATGAAAAAGTCTTTTAATTTTCTTAGTAAAAACAAAATAAATCCAGTATGTCAAATGACTATTAAGATATAAAAAGAATACTAAATGAATTATTATTGATATAATAAGTTGAATTAAAAAAAAGGAATTTAAAGTTAAATAGAAATTGGATTTGAAAATTATCCTTATAAGTTAAACAAACTTGTTGTCATACAGTATATAAGAATCTTGCTATTTGATTTTATTTTAATATGAAATCACCTTCAAAAAAAGGCTTTTGAAGCTATTATTTTAAGTGATTAAATCAAGTTATACTTTTGAATGATACATTTTTATTTAATACAAAAAAATCCAGCAAAATATTCAATTTATATTGTAAAAATTATTTCAACATACATTATAAACGTATTAACATACTTTTGTTTTCAATAAAATTATGAATTCAAAGTATCAATATATCATCAACTGCAATAGTTCTAATATCAACCGCATTATCTCATCAATCAGAAAATATAGAAAGCTCATTGTGTTTCGTCATGACGAGATAAATTCATCATTGATATATGAAAATTTATTAGCATTTTATGTTTTTGTAACATTTCAAATAGATCTATCGATTATAGGCTGACAGATAAATTTTTACAATTTCTGATTTTAAAAGCAAATTGATGATGAATGTACGCGTTTATAATTTTACATTAAGAAATTTATTAAGATTTTTTTAATACTTTCTTTTTTCTAAAGCATGAGTAAAACGTATTTACTTTTTAATCAAATTTTTAAATCCCTGGGTTAATTAATGTATAAAAACAATCGATTCTCTTTTTTAAATACTTTACCAAAATAACTGAAATTATAAAAAATAATCAATTTCAATCTTTATTCCAACAACATTACCAATTAAGCTTAACCAACTTCTAATGTAACCTTCTAACGAAATTAATAAATTATTATTATCCGAATTGAATTTTGTAGATCGTGGTCTATCAACAATTGATTTCATTAAAGTAGCCGTTTCACATGGATGAAGATAATAGAATGGAATTAAAAGCGTAGGATGATCCTAAAAAAAAAAAATTTCCCCGTTGTTTTTTTTTTTTTTAAAAAAAAAAAACTAATTTTTAAATTTAAAGTGACAATGTTTGCTTACCTGTTGTGATATTCCTCCATGAAATCCTGCGACTTTTATATCTTCTAGCCTCGAAGGTTGAATCAAACAAGAATATATTTCGTCAATTGTTAATGGTGTTCCGTCTTTAAATAAAATTATAATAAAAAAAATAATAATTATATTATTATCAAATTATTAATAGTAGTAATTAGTAATAGTAATATAATAATAATAATAATAATAACCATTATGATAAGCATTGAAATAAAGTACAGGAACTTTATAAGATGTTGAATATATTATATGATAATCTACAGTAAGGTATTCAACGGTTGTTTCATGAGTTGTATTTAGAACCTTTGAGATTTCGTAATAAATTAATAAAATAAATGAAGAAAAATTAAGATAAATAATTGAAATTTTAAATTTACACCGGGATCTTCTACTTCTTCTACTTGTTCGAATTGTTCAACATCTGTCGTTATAGGTGTAATATCTTCAGTTTTGAATTCATTCGAATACGCATTCACTTTTTGAATAATCATTTTTCGGGATAAATATCCAAATCCTATCAATCTCTATTTTTTTTTTTTTTTTTTTATAAAAAAAAAAATATCAAATCGAAATTTTTGCATATTTTTTTTTTTTTTAAAAAAACAAAAGAAACCTCATGTTCAATCCAAATCCAACCTTCACCGACAACATTTTTTGATTGTTCTAAAAAAGATTTAGCTGCAACATCAAACTCTTGTCTTGTTAAAAAGGGATATTGTTTTGGATATGTTTGCGTTGACATTTTTTTTTAACTAAAAATTCTTTCGATTTGAATAAGATGGACAATTTATCAAGTTTATTACGTAATTTGAATGATATCATAACCGCAATACACGACATCAAAAACCTTTAAATTCCATTTCAATCTTTTGTGTCGAGGAGTACACGTCTAACATGGAATATCACCTGTTAATAGGGTACTTGCAGAAAATCACGACTTTTTTGGTCTCTTTTAATATCCAACTCGGTATTTAAAAAGAATTACTTATTTTGTCAAAAGGAAAGAAAGAAAAAAATAATAAATAAAGCTCCATATGGTAATAATAGTTTAATTTCAATCAATCAAGTATACATAAATTAATTCGAGTCTGGGTATTTTTCATCAACTTATAAAAGGGTATCCATTTCTGTAATTGTGTGCATATGGAACGCATTAATTTGTGTCAATGTTTATATTTTAAGATGTTCGTTCTTCTTTGAAGGAATATAATTGGAAAGAAATGATAACAAGTGTATTTTTTTTTAAAATAAAAAGTAAAATCATGCATTGTAATTTATTCCGTGTTACGAAGTCATGAATTTTAAATTTTATTTAAACTTAGTATTTATATAAATTTTTTTTTTTACGAGCTTTTCTTTTTTAAAAAAGACTTAACTGCGAACGATGTTACAACTACGATCTTATCCGAAATTTTTTAAAGCTTTGAAGATCTTACAATGGTTAATAAGTTTTGGAATTCTTATGATAGGTTCGTTTACATATTTTGATCTTGAGAATTTAAAACTTTTAATACATTGCTTTCGTGATTAACCTATTTCTTTTTTAATAAATTTAATAAAAAAAAAATTAAAATTAAAATTTAAAAATAAAAATAAAAATAAAAAAAAATAAAAATAAATGTAGAAGTGACACAAATTGTGGTATATTATAAAATTCCTTTACCCAAATCATTTTTTTCAAAACAAGATCTGTAAGTATAAAATGTATTGCCACTATTCATGGATTCCCGATCCTTTTCTTATCAAAACTGAAACAATTATTTAGATACGATGGTGAAGTTAAATATTGGTATTACTTTGTGATCTTAATAACATTAATTGGAATCGGTAAGTAATATTTCTTTGAATCAGAAAATAAAGATTTCAATGCAATTGTTATTATAATTTCGCAATTTCATTTTTTATTTTTTTCTTCTTTTCGATAGGTTATTATTTGACGAAATTTCATAGATTTTGGGGAATGGGCCCGAATATAGTGATCGATTTGTAAGTATATTATTATCAATCGTTTTTATTTAAGTTTATTAAGCATATCCATATATTATTATATAATTTAGGGTTTTCTTTTTTCTTTGGCTTGCAGCTGGTAAGTTGATTAATTATATTCCCCATTTATAAAAAAAAAAAAAATTTTCTGACGAAATAAACTTCTTGTTTAGGACTTGCGAACCTCGTTCCGGTGTATAAAGGATCAAATTTAACATGTCCTCTAATAAATTTAAAGTCTCAAAACCTTGAACTACATTGTTTGTATTATATAGTATCATTAATATTAGGTTGGGTGAATACATTTTTCTTTTTAATGACGAGTATAATATGTCAAATCATTCGATGGGAGAAAGCTAAATGGGAAGAGGAAAAATCTGGATTATCAAGAAAATCGAGAGATTATAGATCTTATGGTCCAATGGATTCAAAATCCAATTTACATTTTCCTATTACGATTCATCAAAATAATATTACTGCTCCCTCAATTAATTAATTATTCTTCTGTAACTTTATATTATTATTATATTACATTTGAGTTGAAAAATATATAAAAAGAAAAAAAATTTTTTTCTCTTCCTTTTTTAATAATTCTTATCATTATGCATGAGAAATAAACTTTTTAGTAAGAAATAACTTTAAGATATACAACGAAATTTTTCGGTCCATATTCAAATAATGAAAATGAAAAAAAAGATAATTTAATTTGTACACTATGATATCTATGTTTATTAAGTAATTAATATATTTAACCTTGGAATAATAGAAATTAGTTTAGGATTATGAAAATAAATAATAATTTAATTTAATAACTATTATAATATCCCATCACTTATATTATATATATATATAATTATTATTATCTATTTTTTTTTTTTTTTCATTATTAACATTTTTCGCGCCTAATAATCATTACTATCGTATTCACTATCAGTCTCACTCTCATCAAATTTTATAAAAGTTCTTGGCGACTTTGTCTCTTCCACATGATCATGTTCTCTCGGAACAAAACTTAATAAAGGTTTAATATTTGTATTCCGTAATGATAATGTATGTGTTGCATCAGCTTTTAAATCTAGTTCAAGTAATGTTTTTCCATTAGCGAGCATTGTTGGTGATAATATATTATGTGTCGTCAAGCTTCTTGATAATGGTGCGTCTATTTTTAATAATGTTCCCAGAGGCTTTGACTTTTGTGAATTATTGTTCTTCCCATTAGATTCTTGAACTTTAGTTAGCAAAGAACCTTTATTAAATTGTACCCCATCTTCAATTTGTATCAAATGATTTGAATTAATGATATTTTCAGATACTGTTTCATTATTCCTTCCCAACAACGATCCTTTGTTAAATTTTACTGATTCATCCAAATTTACAAAGGTTGTGCTATTTGGGTCTCTGATGATTCCTATACCACCCATAGCTTTACGATGTTTTTCTCTTTCTTTAGCCTGTTCAAATAATGAATCATTTGAAGCCAATAACGATCCTTTCACAAAAGATACACCCTCTGCTTCAACTGGCTTTATAGGAGAATTTTTTTCATCAAAATCTAACAATGAACCTCCTTTAAATGGCTGATCACCATTCGCCGTAGAAACGGTTCCCACAAAAATGTCGGCTTTACCTTTTAATGATTTTGACGAAGAATTACGAACATGTTTACGTAGATTCTCCCATTGACTATTAGACCTACGTTTTTCTGAAACTGCAGTTCCATTATTTACGTTCGCATTCAAGTCCGTAGAATTTTCACTTGTCCAAGGTTTCTATTTCCGACCAATATAAATTTAAAAAAAAATAAAATTTTATTTAATTTTCTAAATATTTTTACTAGTAAAAGAAAAAAATTATTTTGCCAACCTCTTTATCATGATTATCCAATATGTATGTTTTCTCACTTTCAACAGGCTTTTCGGTAAACCTTTCTGGATTTTCAGCACGCATCAAGTTATTCTTTTATAATAAAGAGAGTAAATATTTTGATATAATTTTAAATTAAAAATATGAAATGATATTACCTTAGAAGCTTGTAAACTAAACACCCAGTCTTTCATCTTATCTAAGTGATCTGCACACAAATAATGTAAATAATCTTTTTCTGGATTCTCAAACATTGCAATTTTATCTTGAGATTTTAAAGCGAAAATAAATTTTGTTGGAGATTTTTTCATAATTTTTGTCATGGTATACACATCAAAGTTGGTAAGCGAACAAAGGAAAGTTTCATTATTCCCCTAAATTTAAAGTAATAAAAAAATTATTATTATTTATTTAAATGAAAATAAATAGATGTAAATATCACTAGATATACCTTTGAATCTTTGGAATGATATATAACTCCTTCTTTGGTGTAAAAGTATCTTTTTTGCCACTTATTTTTCTTAATCTCCAAATGCAACCATCCAAACATAGGTGGAACGGCGTTGTTGAATCCCTAATAGATGAAATTAAATTTAATAATTCTATTATCAAATGTGATATATAAATAAATACCTACTTCTAGTGTTAAACAACTCCTAAATGCATGTTTTTTCAAAACAAGTGCATTTGGTTTATCTAATTCCCAAGCTCCGATTACCGTAGCAATGTATTCCCAATCCCTTATTGGACGTTCTAAATAACAAAAATTAGTTTCTCATCACAATATTAAATCCCGAAAGAAAAAAAATCGCACACATATATATATACCTAGACCATATTCATTTATTAATTCAAATAATGTCCATGTTTCGTTATCGTAAATTGTATCGTTACTACGGAAATAATTCAAAACGTCCAATGCAGTCTTACTTGATGTTATTGACAATTTTTTATATTGACGAACATCTTCAATAAAAATCTGTGTGATAATCTAATATATATATATTTTCATAAAGTTATGATTTTAGTTTGAGAACAGCAAAAGGAACAACGATAATGTAACGAAATTATTACAAACTTTAAGTTCAGTAATTTTATGCCCTTCTTTTTCAACAAATGTCTCCGCCTACAAATTTATATATTTTTAAATTAAGACAGTTCCACTAATTAATTTCATAATAATTCATCGTACCTTTTCACGACGATAAGGATAATGCTTTTCCTTATCCCATAATTCATGGGTTCGAGATTTATTACTTTCTTTATTGTAATTCCTGCCATCAACTTCACGTTCTCTTGGTTTCGATTTTGATCTTCCATGTTCTTCTTCTAGTGTTCTAGATTTAGCTCTCCCACTTTCTTCCACATGAGTTTTTGATTTAGTTCTCCCACGTTCTTCTTCTCCACGAACTTTTGATTTAGATCTCCCACGCTCTTCTTCTCCACGAACTTTTGATCTTGCTCTTCCACGTTCGTCTTCTCCACGAACTCTTGATTTAGCTCTTCCATGTTCTTCTTCTCCACGAACTCTTGATTTAGCCCTTCCACGTTCGTCTTCCCCATGAACTCCTGATTTAGTCATTCCACGACCACGTTCTTCTTCTCCACGAACTCTTGATTTAGCCCTTCCATATTCGTCTTCCCCATGAACTCCTGATTTAGCCATTCCACGTCCACGTTCTTCTTCTCCACGAATTCCTGATTTAGTCATTCCACGTTCTTCCTCTCCACGAACTCTTGATCTAGCCTTTCCTCGTTCCACTAAATTTTCACGAGCATTCTTTCTTTCTTTGTCTTCGAGTGCTCTTGTTCTAGATTCATTTGTTTGCGACATCTTTTCAGATTCAATGTCACGAGACGGTTCACCCCTAGATTTTGCTTTTTCCCTAGGATCTGTTTCATGATCTCGTATTCCTTTTACACAATTTTCTCCTCTGTGTTCACGACCTTCCCACTCATCTTGCCTAATTTCACTAGACCTTGGACGAGGTTCGGGATCCCTTGATTTACCTGTCCAATCCTTTTGATCGTCAGATTTTCGTTCTTTAGACCTTTCCCTTTCTTTTGGCTTGAGTGATCTAGAAGAATTTTCCAGTAGGTCTGTTTTTTCAAATATTTTATTTAGATGGGCCCTTACGGATGAATCATAAATATCTAAATTTAAGTCTTGAACTTTTGAATTTGCACGAGATCTAACTTTTTGCTTTTCTTTCCTTAACTCTTCCAAATTGATAACTGAAGTACTTGCATTAACTGAAGTCATTCTAGGTGTTAATGGGAGGTTTTTATCAGTATTATATGATTTTACATTGTCTTTATCAATGACATTTTTTAAGGATGAACCGAAATTACGACCAACTGTTGCTGGAATTCTTTTTGACTCATGGGATAATTTAAAAATGTTTTCATTGGAAATGATGGATTTTTGGTCATTATCGGAAGAATTTGACAAATCTGTTAATGAAGATTGCTTTCGTAACAAGTTTTGTCTTGTCATCATCAAAGGGCTATCATCGTCACCATCACTTTCCGAAGAATCATCCGATGACGATGGCGATACGATACCATCACTATCACTATCACTGCTCAGAATAAAGGCCGCTTTCGATATAGATCTAGGAGAAGGTATGGGAGAAGATATAGACACTGACATATTACTACTATTTGATAACGATCTAAGACGTGAATAGTTCAAAGGAGCGCTTGTTAACTTATCGGAAGAAAAATGCGCAGAGGGGGAGACATTGATTTTGGATTCAGGTGACAAATGATTAGATTCCCGTGATTCTGCAAAATTTGATCGTTGGTGAAGCGTAGTATCAATTAATTTAAGACGCAAGTCCATATTTGAAATAGATTTCTCAGATGAGTTATAGCCGTTGTTAATTGATATGGAAGGTTCCTTCTTTAACCTAGTTTCTTGTTGCGTAACCGGATTAAAACCTGTATCTAGTTTTGAAAAATTATCTAATGTTTTGTGATTTGTGCGTGAAAGATCATCGAAATCCTCACAAGCAAGTTCCTTTAAGATAAAACATTTAATTTAAATTAGCAATTTTCTTTTTTGATGACAACTTAGTCTCAGATAAAACTTACCGCTGTGAATTTTTCGACCTCTTGCTGCAAAAGACTAAACATTAAATCAAGATCCTTGTTCATTCTGTTTTTTTTTTTATTTTGTTTTACACAGCATGAATTTCGATTTTCGAAAAAACAAAAAAAAAGAGTCAAAAAAAGAACTGAATTTGGAGAACTTAAATAATCGTAAAAGAGTGTCTACAAGTATTTATTATTGATGATTGTATACTTTAACAACCCATAAAGTTTATGACCTAGTTTACTATATATCTCCAAATTTTGTTTTTTTTTTTTTTTATTATAATTATTATTATTATTATTATTTTTAAAATACAATAACCTATGAAAATAAATTACAATAATGTATAATGTATATGATGTTTTATTTCATGCACCTGTGCAGAAAGAACAATGAAGAAATGGAAAAAGTGAAAGTGAAATTGAAAGAAAGTGTAGTGTTAAGGTATTATTAATATTTTTTTTTTTTTTCCAAAATTCACCTTTATTATATAAATAAGAATTACTGTCGTATCACTTTTAGTAAACAAAGGTTACAAAAAATATAAAAAAAAGACCTTTTTCGGGGAACATTTTGTTTCACTTATAAAATAATAAAGGAATGATTAACCGACCAATCGACAGATAATAGGGGTTAAACTTTAATCATGTTATTTTAAATTTAATTATTTTATTTATATTGATTGTCGAATAGATCTAAATCTCAACTTATTCAAATTATTAAAAAAAAACTCTTTTGAATAGAACTCAATAT